TTCAAAACAGGCCCCATAATAACAGCTCTATGGAGCAGCATCAGACTCATTCTGACTAGAATTTAATAAGGACTACGTCAGGCTAGTTAGTTACAGCCATAATATATATAATATTTTTTTTCTTTCATTTAAGTTTTTTTTTTTGTAAATAATAATTATGTGTATGATTGGAATAAAGAACAGCACACCATAAAACAATATACGCCGTCCTCTCAGTCAATGACCAAATTAAACAAAACTGGTTCCTATACAAACAGTTGATATCTCACAATGCCAGCAAAGTAAGTTTATTTCAATAACTCAACACTGTGGATTTAGGATTAAACCCAGTTGTAATACTGTGGTCAACCATTAAATGTGTCTCTAGATCTTGTGGAGGCAAAGTTGGTGGGAATCCTGGACATTCTAGATGAAGAGAACCGCCTTCCTCAGCCCAGTGATCAACACTTTACATTGGCCGTCCAGAGCAAGCACAAGGACCACTTCAGACTGACGGTGTGACCCCTGACCCGAGCTCCTTTCCCTCTTTTCTATTGCTTCTTTCTCTCTACATCTCCAGGCTTGTTGACCTCCACTGTGGCCTTTTTGATATCTGGGAAAATGTAGCTTCCCCTTCTTAGTGTCATTGTGATCACTCACACTTTTCAATGTTTGTTCCAGTAGTTCAGTGAATGACGCACAGCATCTGTCCCTCCCCGTTTCACTCTTTGTCCTTATTGTTCAGCAGTCTGCTTGATTATCTGCAAACATAAAATCCTTTTCAGAACGTAGCCTTGACACTTATTCAAGCTTAAGATTAGTGGAGGCTGGCTTCAGCCATTTTATTGTTGTCTCTCAAACAGACTATTCTGTGCATATAATGGGGGGAAAATTCAATGTGGTGTCAGCTAACAGTTCTTCTCCAAATCTACAGCTTTTCAAGGGCTTGTTTGTGCTTCTCCTCTTTTTTCATTGTTTATTCAGAAAACAGATCAATGTTTAGACCCTTTTGCAACATTTCAGCCAGACAAGATAAAAGTGCCATTCAGAAATTCTTAAGCTAGCTATTAAATAAGCACTCTCATTAAATAAGTGCAAAAATCCTTGAAAAAGGACATAAATGGTACGTTTAATATAAAGTTTATCTCTTAGCTAATCTCGGACACAATGAAAAGTCTTGCAAAAGAACTCCTTCGAACCAAGTAAATATAATCCAAAAATATGTTTTGCTTTTTATTTCTTTAACATTTTTACCCTCTTAGGTTCCCAGGAAGTCGAAGTTGGCCATCCACAGAAATCTTCGGGATGACGAGGGTTTTATGATCAGGCACTTCGCTGGAGCTGTCTGCTATGAAACGGTATTTCTCAACCTCAGTATTTTTTTTTTAACTTAGTCTTGCTGTCTGTGTGCAGAGACTCACAAAACTAATGAGATGTAAATCCACACCCTTTGAGGTTCTTCAGATTATTTAAAGTGATAGAGCAAAATAGTAAAGAGAATTAATTCATGGTTTTATCTATTTATGTTTTTTTTTTCACAAATAAGAAGCTGAAAATACTTCATAAACTTATCCGCAACCCAGCTGACTCAAAACTTCATGGAGATACTTTCACTGCAATTACAGCTGAAAGTCTTGGTATTTTTACCAGCTTTGCACATCTAGAGATTGACCCTTATGTTTTCTGCAAAAATCGCTTAGGCTCAATAAGATCAGATGGAAATTCCATCAATTTTTAAGTCTGGCCACAGATTCTACTTTGGATTTAGAATCATTTATAATTTATCTGACCAAATCGCCTTCTTCAACTCACTTGCTGTGTTTCCTATATGGCTTTAGGTGAAAACAACGACTCATTTTCCGCCCACCTGATATGCTCTGAGGTGGGAAGACCTGCTCCCTCATTCACAGCCATGGACAGAAATATTTACCCTTTCCTTTTCTCTGAAAAGCCCAGTTAGATTGGATGGAGAGCAGTTATAAGAACAAGTTTTCCACTCTTGCAATTTTTACTTACATATAAGTCTGACGTTTGACTAGACCATTCTAACCAATCACTATCCTTTGATATAAACTATTCTATCACAGTTCTGGCCAGATGAGTTTTTTAATTTTTTTGAAAGGTAGACCTCTTCAGTCTTATATCTTCTGCAAACTTTAACATGTTTTCTCTCACGCTAATCTTTTATTTGGCTCCATTCATCTTCACATATTCAAAATGGCTCTTCCCAGTGAAACCCCAGCGGAATGGCAGCCCACTTCCCTCCATCTCCCAGCGAAATCCCCTCCAACTTCCAGCCTCTGGAGGGACCCCCTCTTGCATATTTTGTACTCTGACTCCACCCTTTCACTGAATTACCGGCTCTGACCAGAGATGACGCTTCTCTCTAGATCTTAATATCCACAAATCATGACAGAGAGAATATTTTAGTGCAAACATTGATGTTTAAATGGGAATTATAGGGAACCAGCCAAGGATCCATCAAGGAAAGAAGGGGCATTTTGAATTGCTACTACTGTAAACTTCAACCAGCCTCTTCTTCTCTACTTTCCAAGAGCATGATGCTGCCACCACTTTGTTTTGCTTCTTGTTGCCACACAGCTTTTTTGCATATAGGTCAAAATGCTAAATTTGGTACGCTCCTGTCTCAACGTGTCTATCATTTCCCCTGGAGAAAATTTCCAGGATTAAGGTACTAATGTCCAAGCAGTATCTAGAACAGGCATGCCCAAAGTCGGTCCTTGAGGGCCGCTGTCCTGCAGGTTTTAGAGGTTTCTCTGCTTTAGCACAGCTGATTCTGATGATTGCAGTTCAGCAAAAGCCTGTTAATCAGCTATCAATGTAAATCAGCTGTGCTGGAGCAGGGAAACCTCTAAAACCTGCAGGACAGCAGCCCTCGAGGACCGACTTTGGGCATGCCTGATCTAGAAAAACTCATTCATGCATTTTTCTTTACCAGACTGAATTACTGCAACAGTGTATTGCAGGTGTGTATGTAGGTTTGCTTAAATAGTCCATCAAACAGCTGTAGCTGATCGAAAATGCTACTGCCCAAGTTCTCACTAGAACTGAGAAGGTAGAGCACATCAGCCCGGTTCTGAAGTCCTTCCACTTGCTCCCTGTAGCTCAGATAATAGAATTAAAAATCCTTCCGTTAGTCTATAAATCTCTGAATAGATCAGCACCTCATAACAGACTCAGGTCTTAGGCTTATTTCACAAAACATTTTTCAGTCATATCACCCAGCCCTAAATCAAAGTGTTTCAATTTTTACAGGATGGATTGAATTAATATGTTTCTTCGTTTTTATGAGGTTTTGGTTGGTGTGCTGCAAAAATTATTTTTAACTCAATTGTTTGAGTTTGTTTCAACACAATATACCAGAGAGGATGCCAACAACTACAGTAGCTACCTTTTCTGGACTGTTCGGTGAGCATTGAAGGAGATGGAAACCTCAGCACTGAAGTGTGTAGAACTCACACCACCCATTGGAAATCAAACTTTCAGTCATCAAAACCTTACAACACTGGGCCGAGCATGTCCCTACTCAAACCGAAGGGAAGCACAAAGAACAGAAACACACCAAGATGTTCTTCAAACCTGTGGCGACCCAAACTGGGCGTTTGTCAAATCAGTAAGGAAATCCAAAAGACCAAAACGCTGAGAAGATTAAACACAAAAACATCACCATCCCACATGTTGCTGGAGTCTCTGAAAAACTCAAGAGGATTTTCTCCAAACACAAAATCCCTGTACATTTTAAACCAAACAAGACCTTTAAACAGACTAGTGCATCCTTAAGAAAAAAACCCAAACCAAATATGAGCAGAGAGGTGTCTGCAGTTCAATGCAGTGAGTGATGCTCTGATCTTTATATTGAAGAAACCAAACAACCTCTCCACAGACGCATGGCTCAACACAGAAGAGCGCCCTCTGCTGGACAAGACTTAGCGGGGTACATCTACACCTGATGGACACAGGATATTCCTTTGAGGACCAGAATGTTCTCATTTTGGACAAAGAAGACAGGTTGTTTGCGAGGGGCATGAAGGAAGCCATTTATGTCAAGAAAGAAAAACCAACCTTAAAGTCGTAGGAAAGTCATATTTAAAGTTCAAATCATTCTGAATTAAACATGTATATAAATATACTCTTTATTAGACTATATTATCCTAAAATTTAGAAAAATTTCTAAATAAAAAAATTCCTGTCTTAAAATCTGTGTATTTTTTTCCCGTTATCTTCTGCAGGCCAGTTAGTTCTACGTCAGCCTGAACACCTAAATACGGCCAATCATATATCAACGGTCATCTGTCAATCTAATTTATTCGGTCATAGCATCTTGATTCATATGTCGCAGCTAGTATACGCAACAGTTGAAATCAGAAATCAGAATCCTTTCCCATTGAGTTGCGTCCCAGTGTTCACGGGGATGGACGTCTGTGTCTTCAGCAGGCGTAGAGCTAACAGAACTGGCAGCGTTGCGAGGCAAGGGCTCAAACATGTACGGCTGGAAGCCTTCTACACCAAACCAAGCTTCTGCCGCCCTGGCGTCCTCTTCCACAACATCTTCGTCCCCGCTTTCCTCCTCTAAATAAAAAATGGATGACGGAGGAGACTCATCCACGACCTCCAACACTAAACTCTCCTCCTCTTGCATGTTTCCGCTGTCCATAGCGTTCCTTGACAGCGTCGTTTCTAAGTCACCAATTAAGTGCTACTTGGTCCCAATGGAATTTCCCATTGTGAGCCACATTCCGCCACAACAATCCCTTCCTCTTGATAAACTACCAATCACATTCACTTTATTCACTCCTATAAAGCCGGGCTCCGCTCGGGAGAATTCGGAGATGCAACGGTTTCCCTACGACCTTAAAAAGACAGAGAAAGACAGCGATACAACACAGCGATAGAGATGATTCCTTCTCACCATCATTGGGACCCCCATCCCCATACAAGGGAACAGAACACCTCGCCTATTCAGCCAGGCCAACAATTCCCTTTAACGACCCCCCCTTTCCGGGGCATAGACAGGTATCGGGTGTTGCAGCCTAACAAAGAACCTAAACAACTGTCCTTACTAAGGGGTGGACCCGTTATTCCGGTTCAATTTGCATGTTTTCTGAGAAAAAATAAAGCTTTGTTTTCGGTGCACTCTATAAAGCCTCAAACTCGACACTATTTCTGACATTTTGAATAGAAAAAACTTCCTGGATGGGAAGTGAAATGTCTTCAAACTTGGAAACAAAGTCTAGTGATTTGTTTTATAACTTTTTTGGAATGACTATGACCTTATTGACTGAGAATCTTCACCAACATATTTTTTTAACAGTTATTTATTTGGGGTTTCTTTAGTTTATTTCCATTACATGGAAATGAAAAGGTGGCCCATTCTTCATTTTGGTCTAACACAACATCAGAATGTAGCAGAGGAAGCTTTTCTCTACAGAAATGAATGTGCTTTTGTTGACAGACGCGGTTCGTGGAGAAGAATAATGACGCCCTCCACATGTCCTTGGAGAGTTTGGTGTGTGAATCAAAAGACAAATTTGTTCGCGAGCTGTTTGAGAACACCAGCACCTCCAAGGACTCCAAACAGAAGGCGGGTAAACTCGGCTTCATCAGCGTTGGCAACAAATTCAAGGTCGGTTAACACTCTTTTTGTGTGCTGTTGCCCTAAGACCCCATTGTGTCTGTCAATACAGTGGTCTAATTTAAATATTGAACATGTGATTCACACATGATATCTCGCCGTGTTTGCTTGTACAGAAGCTTTGCCAAAATAAAGTATATTGATTCAGGTTGCGAAATCCACCATTTTTTACCTGCTCTGTTTTTATTTGCTGACTTTAATCTCTCTAAGCCTCTTTTCAGACTAGCAGTAAGTGAGCCGACTCAAATCTCTATCTCAATCTCCTTCCTCTTTCCCACTTTCTTGTCCTTAGTTTGGACGACTCTCTTACATTTCCTCCAGTCTCTCACCACTTTCTTCTGAGAAAACTTACTTGGTGAATAGATCTGGATAAAATCAGCTTGAAGAATAAAAACGGGAAGCTTTATAGCAGCAGCGGAAAGTGCAATAAAACAATAATGATCCTTTGTTTTTTATATGAACCTCATATTTGACTTGGATCAGTTACATATGGGCATTAATCCTCTTATATATCATCAACCATTGTGCTCATTGCTTTCTGTTACTTGACTGAGTGACTTTGTTAATCTCAAAGGGGATAAATTTACTCGTTACATCAGCTCAAATAGTCAAAGAAGAAAAATGAGCAGGAAGAAAAAGTCGCATGGGCTATAAACAGTATATACAGT